TAGAATACAGCGCTGTTCTAGTCCACACAGCGGAAAATTTTGCATGAACAGCAAGTAAAAGTTTTAAATGTAAATACTCAGCTATGTAAACGGCATCAGCGTCAGTAATTCAGTCTCTCTTTTTACCGCAGCATGCGTTACTTGTGAAGTTGTTTCACCTCCAGCAGTTGGAAGCAAACATTGCTCTTCATGAGTTCAGATGTCGGTAACAACCTGCGTAAAGGCCCTTTATCAACTGATGCCTTGAAAGGCATGATTCAGAAATTTAACAAGCAGAATCCTTAGCAGTTTAGTTTGAGAAGGCGAAAATCGGTGTCTGAACGGACAGTTACTGATGTCGCGATTACAGTCATTGACGACACTCATATAGAACCATTGCTAATTGTAGCAGTGCCCGAGGAATAGAGCGACAATTGGATTTGAATTTTTCAACGGTATGGTAACACCTGGAGAAAGTTGTTCACTTCTACCCATACAGAATAAGTCGCGTGTAGGTATGAAAACACAACGATTATGATAAAGGGGTGATATCTGCTCTGACATTTTTTGCTTGGCGGAGGTCGGCAATGCTTAGCCATGGAGAATTCTGTGGGAAAATGTAGCTACTTTCATTAAAATGGGACTGCAAATACTCATAGTACTCGAATCGGGCAGTAGAACAATTATACACAGTTCAAGAATTTCTATTTCCTTTAACTTTTATAACCAAAAGTAACACTTTACTGGGGCTTCACAGCAGATTTCGTCAGTGAACCATTCTTTTTTGAGAGCATTACTCTAATAGGACCACACTTCTGGACCGTTACCAAGCAAATGTATCATGATATCCCGATTAATTTTGTCATTCCACAACTTCAGCAGAGGGTAGTTGCTGCATCAGATAGATTTTATACAGAATGTAGCACCACCTCACATTGATTTATCGCTACATCGGCTGTGGCGTACCATTTTATAAAAGAAAAGGCTATGCGTTGCTTTTCTCACTTATATAGTCGCCTCGCTCTCCGTGTCTAATCCATGTGGCATTTTCCTGTGAGGGTTATTTGAAGTTCAAGGTCTATCTTAGTGAGATCCTGACGTCTATGACCTTAAGGGACAATACATTTCATTACAGCACCGGTTCTCAACCTTTTGACTAACGCGCACCATCTAAACAAAAATTAAAAACCTTTAGTACCACCACTACATTTTACAATGATTATTTTTTAATTTCTGAATAGAAATATTTTTTAAAAAATCTGAAAGCTTTCAGACTTTGTATTACCTTTATTTATTAAATATCATGTTCTTCGCACTTAAAATATAAAATTCAATTCAACAGCAATATCACAAACTATTTAAAATAGCATATTTTTAGAATTTCCGAAATGCAGTCTCGCGCGCTGGATATACAATTTTTTTTTTTTTTTTTTTTTTTTTTTTTTTTTTTTTTTTTTTTTACGCACAGTGTTGCCATTGCTCGCTTTGAAACTGTTGAGTTTGTTTATCAAAAATTCATTAAAGTGTTATAAAATAAGAAATAATAAAACAAATTCCATATTAGGGCTTCCAGATGCCCATATTCGGTGGATTATTAAGTTATTCAAAATTAGATGGCTCATCACAATGCGAGTTGTTTTGTTGTGTTGCAAAGTTGTGTTGTTTAATCACAATGCGAGAAACATACATACATTTATGCAGATTCTTCATTATTTAATTTCTTTAAATATAGCACAGGGTGATAATATTTGGTAACAACAATTTGAAAAGTGAAACAGACATTTAAGTTTTAAAAACAGAATGCTAAAAAAGTTAATAGCCCTTCTGGGGTAATGCCCTTTGGGCTAAAAATTATTTTTCCGTTTGCACAACCTATTGGCTATTTGAAATATGCACTCATAAAAATAAAAATTGGTTACTATTTTAATTATCAAAGTTTAAGTTATAGCGCTTTAATTCTGAAATTTAGTGCGAAATTTGGGCCTGATTAAGCTAAATCAATTTCTTTATGTCTAGTCTTATTTCACTTAGTTTTAAACGTAAATTAGAATCCACATTTAATTTTGTTCTGCACTTATTTTTTAAATATAACATGAAAGAAAATCCTTGTTCACACATACAGATCGTGCAAAAAGGCAATAAAAATTTAATAGCTTTATTTGAAATGCTTCTAAATTCTTTTTTTTCGGTTAAGCCAAAAGTTAAAAACTGTGCTATTTTTGAGTTCGATCATAGGAAATTTCTGTCAATTGCTCGTTTTCTACAAGAGATAAAATTTCAGGCATATTTGAACAAAATGAATTTCTAATCCAATTTTCTTTTCCATAATCCTCATGAAAATACATATTGAAATTATCAATTGAATTTATCAATGAAAAAAATTAATTTTTTAATGTCGGATGCTAATTCTTCTTCTATTGTTAAATTATTTTCGGTTAGAAAACTTTCTAAAAGAGGCAAAAATTTAAAAATATTATTATCCAATTCTTTGATTATTAGTTCGAGTTTTTTTATCATTGTTTCTATTTTATCATTAACGGTAAACAACTTGTATTTGTAATCCTAAATTTATATTACTTATCTTTCCAAAAATATCAATTAAATATCAACCAACCAGAATTCGCTAAATAAACATTTTTGCAATTAAAATTTTTGAATTTCTGATTGAAGATAAAAAAGACGACTTAAGACTTTGCCTCTGGATAACCAACCACCTAACTTCGGAATGTACCAAAAGCGTTTCATGCTCACTGCTCATCTTTTGGCATAATATCGGAAATATTATTGAATTTAAAGTTCGTTTCAGGGATTGTTTTGGCTTCACGATGTATGCAGCAGTGAGTAAATTTAGTCTCAGCTGGGACTTTCTTTATATGAGAAATCACTCCGGAATGTTTTCCTTGTAGCCCGAGCTCCGACACTGCATACGGCACTGCATTTATTCCAAGCAATATCATTCTCAGACATAAAATTGTCAATTACTTTGAAAATTTCACTTGCAGTGAAGGATTCACTTTGTATGAAGGATTCGCAAAAGAAATACTCTTCAGCAATTCATTTATCTTCTTTGAAATGTATGTAAACTAATAACTGAACTAAGTTTGTCATATCGTACTTTCATCCAATTGCAATGCGAAATACTCACTGTGTTTTATTTTTTGAATAAGTATCTCTGTTATAGAATTTGCTATTTCATGAATTCGTCGATTTACTGTATCATTTGATAACGGAATATTATTAAGTTCATTAGCTGATTTTTCGTTGAATATTGTTAAAACGATATCTTTAGCTGTTGGTAATATAAGGTTTTCGCCAATAGTGCGAGCCTGCCCAGTCTTAGCAATTCTTAGGCTTGCCAGGTAACTAGCTTCCAATGCCGTTTTCACTTGAAGTAACGAAACCTTTCATAACATGACTACTATTTTTTAAATCATAATTTCCTCTTAAAATATTCTGCAGATTTAGCCTTTAACTTGGCATGCTTAGATTGAAAATGTCTTTTAAGATATGATGGTTTCATACCACTGCAAACAACACATTGAGGTTGAGGATCCATTTCATCTCCATTCCTAGTAAATCCAAATGATAAATAACTTACATTATATTTTCTAAAAACAATTTTCCTTTTCATTTCAGTATTCTTAGTACTAATAGATTGTCCTAGATCCATTACCTGATGAATCGTCACTTTTCCGCTTTTTCAGTTCTAGCCATTTTTCCACTAAGAAAATCTAGGTTTGTTTTATTATTTTTCACAAATATTTAAATACACAATATATTAAGAGTTCTTTAAAAACAGACGACGATGTTCTCAAATTGCGTAAGAAATACAAAGCAGGTGACAGGTGTCGGAGAACTGGGGCACCTGACGTGTCTTCCAGAGGTAAGCCGGTGTATGCCCCTCGCCCTCCACAATCCAGAGAAATACAAAGCAACAAGACAAAATACCTACTGTTAGAGACAGCAAACCAACATAAAAAATTATTCTCATTGAAAATGGAGCAATATGAGCCCGGCGACATAAATGCTGACATGCTAATAAATCGATAAACGCTAAGAGGATTAATAGGGTACTGTTATCTTTTTTATAAAATTTATTTTTAGTTCCTATTAAATACAGCATCCACTTCTATCACTCCTTTTAAAAACACCATTTATGGCAAATTTTGTTATGTCTACGGCTAAAAGAATATTTGTGAAACGTACAACATGGAAGAACCACGAAAACTGCCATGCAGACAGATCGTTCGCCTCTTGCTGAAGTCTATAAGCGGCTATTGACCTTGAACAAAGTCAAATAGCATAAATGTACGAGTGTTAGATAAAAAATTCAATCAGGGTGTTGGGATTTTAATTTTTTAATTCAATAGTTAAAAATACTTTGTTTCTTTGCGTACCACCTATTTTTCTCTTGCGTACCACCAGTTAAGAACCCCCAGGCTCTGCTGAGCATTTCCGGCGACATATTATGCTTATTCACGAGAAAACAAAAACATTGTAAGAAGTCTCTTCCTTTTTCAAAGAAGCGCTTTTATTGAATAAAGTGCTATAGCGAGCTCTAATATCATCTCTATAATCCTTTTCATTTACTGTATTACATTTCATGAGGTGAAGCAAAATTTCTTTGTTACTGATTTATGTAGTTTTCAGCTGTGTAGATTAAAACAGCGCCACATTTCTACCGATCGGCAAATTTCAGAACTAATTTTTTTAATCGAATCTTTATTTCCCCTGTCATCATTAGTCCGCCTACCAATAGCTGGCATTCTAGGTGATAGATGTAACTAAAGATGGCTCTGAGTAGTGTCAGTTTAAAAATAAACACTCTGTAGATCAAATTGTATGTTCACGTTTTCGAAATGCAACTGTATCAAGATTTATAATTTTCCTTATGAAAAACATTTTATGAAATCATTTTTTAAAATGAAATCACTGACAACTATAAAGTATGACTGTAAAATAAAATAAAGTAGTAAACTAGGAAATACAGTAAAATATTAAAAATGTAGTAAAATAAAAAATATTCAAAATTGCTTTTAATTTTAAAAAATAATAGCAAGCTACCTCTCGTTAGAACAAGAATTTTTCAAAAGCTGCAGAAACAATGATTAAACAATGTGAAAACCTTGTTTCTTAAATTACAGAAATAAAATAACGCCTTCTTTCTAATAACCATTTAGTTACAAATTACCGCAGAAATACACTGCATGAAATTACTTGAATTTTAATGAATTTATAGCAAATATATTAAAAATTTAAAAGTTCATCTTGTCTATTTTCTTTTTAAAGAAGGTTATTCTTCAAGATCTCATAAAATCATGTATGTAAATAGACAAGTTCATATTTATAGAGTTTAAATGCATTTATATGATATTTTCCCATAATAATAAAATGTCTCTGTTCTTACATTTTTCATTCATCCACTTCTTCAAAACATCATTTTGCATAGGTGTAAGTTCTTCTTTCCAAGAGCCTACACGCCCTTTACGAATGAAATTAATACCGTTACTTTTCAACGAAGTATTGCTGTTATTATACGCAATTATATGTTTTCTGCCTTTTGGTACATTTGAATCAGCTAAAAGCTTTTGACTATCACTGCTATATAGGAATGACAGTGATTTATTGATGAAAGACTTCATGACATCAAAACTACAGTTATGCAGTATTTTTTCAAAAACATCTGCATGTTCCTTCAGATATTCAGCTGTGTCTTCGTTAATGAATTTAGCCACTTTCATCGTTACTTCACGTAAATTCTGCTTCATGTTTTCAAATGTAGTAAAAAAGACATTTGGAGCATTCCTCATTTCGTACCAAGGATGAAGATGGTCAAAATAATCACCGAACTCTACTTCACCTTTTACAAACAAATTCAAATATTCATCAAACGTAGCATCTGCAAATTGGTATCCTGGAATTTGGCGCATATGATGGTAATATGACACGCAACAGTCTTTTGGATTTCTAGCTACATAAATGTATTTTGCATTATCCGACCATGGAATCTAAAAAAAAAAAAAAAAAAAAAAAAAAAAAAAAAAAAAAAAAAAGGAAAAACATCAATATTGATAATAATTTATTAAATCAAATAAAAATATGCATCTTATTTATCGAAATGATTTTAATTTTCTTTGACATAAATTAAACCTTCACAAAAAAAATCTGGCTAACTCTATCTCATTTTTATCATATTTTGAAATTTTGCTTACGTTAGAGTTTTCCTATGACAGCAATGGCATTTCACTTCGATATTTGTCTTAACTTTTGGGTCTCAAATTTTTACTTTAACTCTTAAAAGCTTGCGTAAATCGGACTTCGATGTATTATTTTATAGGATATATAAAATCTTTAACCAAAATATGGTTTTATTATTGGAAAAAACTTAAACTAAAAAACATAACGTAACACATTGCACAGCATTTATGCAGTGGGTGCTGTTCTCATGCAGATAGATCAACCAGTGGCACATTTTTGTATAACCTTCAATCAGCACAGAAAAATAAAATTGCCACAGAGCGAGAAACTACTTCTCAGTTTCTGAGGTAACTTGTGATTCTATTGTGTAAATGAAACACAATTTTAACGGACAAATTTTATTTATAACTTCCGAATGCATGCCTGTGTTTCTCTGGGGAATAAACACTTTCCCATCCATAAATATTAAATTCCCCATCCACATGTCAAAGGCTTATTCTCCTTATGACAGCAGGAAAAAGATTTTATTCCCGAAAGTACAAAAATGGTTACCTCGGTCGTGCACGTCCAGCGCTAGCGACCCATCACTGCAGAGCTCTTGCAGACTTCAACTATGTATCCAAATAAGAGGACACAAATTTTCACTGATTCTTGATAAAATGCTGGGTAGCTCTTCTCTCTCTTTACAACCTTCTTGTCAAAGCTTAAACTGCGTCCGAGTCCACCGGAGCCGGGTGCAATTTAAGCTCTGACAAAATTTTCAATTGTGCGGACCTTACGTTTGTGCTCATATTGTTATCGGATCGGATCCGGAGAAAATTTTTTTGTCCAATTGCTTTATGCTTGACATGTATAATTATATCGGCAGGGCAACGCTATGAGAAAACATAAGACTGCTTTCTTTATTTTGAAAGCTACACGTCTCCATTAAAATTATTTCCATACGCTCATATTATTTCTAGTAATCATTCTATTTTCAGTAGTGACGCTTTAATCGATTTATTTTTTCCTTCGTGCGCTGAAAAAAGAATGTTTACTAGTTTCTTGAAGTAGTGCGTTATACCGTATATTCACGACTTTAATTCAGCCGGAGGTCGGCTAAACTATTGCTTAGTTTTCTGAACGAAATTTAAGTACAGCCAGAGCTCCAAAATGAGATGAGGCCCGGTATTTTATTTCTTTGATTTAACTATTTATCATGATTTAATAATTTATTAAATTTTTGTTTATAGTTTATTGAATTTAAATTTAAATTTAATTATTTAATTATATTTTTTTATTTCAGTCATTTTATTATTTTATTAGTCATTTTATTTATTTATTTTCTCCCTTCTTCCTGACGGCCTTCCATAGGACTCCGGCACTTCTAATTTTAGAAATTAAGCCCTGCCAACGATTACAGTTTATTCTGATCATACGGTGTATGGCGTTTATAATCAAGAAAGAACTTATCGCCAATACTCGGGCAAAACTGATTCGATTGGCCCTTAAACTTCAAGAATTCAATTTAATTATCAAACATACTCCTGGAAGTAAAACACGGTGGCCGATGCGATCTTAAAAATAAAGCTCGATGAGGAAGACAATACTGAAAGTGCGCTACGCTTTTGACGAAAATACTCGACTCTCACACGAGACTGTTATAGAAGAATTGCAAAGGGATCTCTAATTTAAAAATATTTATTCTTATTTGAAAATTCGAGTCATTTTGAACAACCGGACATTACGGCAATTAGAAACAGAGCCGAGAACTGCGACCTCATTGATAATCTTTTATTTTATTCGAAAGCCAGGAATCAAAATTACGAGCTTAGACAGGTTATCCCAGCGAGTTTAAGGTTAAATATTCTTAATGAATTACATGATTTACGTATTTCTGTCCCCCTGGGAATCAGAAAAAGAGTACAACAAGTTCGTGAGGTAGTGCATTTTCTGCGACAGCAAAAGTTTGTAAGTGCGTATGTCAGGTCGTGCCATACTTGTCAGTTAAATAACGATGTAAATTATAGTCCGGTCGGTATACAAATTATATAAAGGTAACGGTTCCAAACGAATTAGGAGGAATATATTTATTAGGTCCATACCCAGATAGCGAAGCCAATCCAAACAGATATTTAATTGTTATTGTAGACTATTTGTCGAAATGGGTAACAATAGTCCCCCTAAGAGCCTTGGTCAAAATAGTTGCAGATTCTTTCTTAAATAAATATATTTTAAAATACGAAGCTGCGTTAAAATTAATTTCCACTAACGGAAAACTGTTAGTCAAATATTTGAAGAGTTATGCACAAGACTTGGCATACGCCACCTAAAAAAGATGCCTTATCGGTCGCAGTCAGAGTTAGTGGAGAGGATTAATAAAAATATAGTTAAAATTACACTTTGTTACGTGAAAAACTATCATAAGCGCTGGGATTGTGAGGTCAGTAAGTTAGCTTTTGAATTAAGAACAGCAAAACATAATACAACGCGAAAAACTCCAGCGGAACCGTTCTTAGGCCAAAATTAATTATGCCGCCGGATAAATTATTCTTTGTTTGGAAGAGAGCCTCAGAATTTGAGATGACTGATATTCAAAAGATAATAAATGAAGAAAACGAAAATTCGGATATTTCCGAAATCAAGGGAAAAACGAAAGTTATATTACGTTAGGAAAAGAGAGTGAATTACAAGTTGGGAGACTAAGTTTTAAATGTCAGTCTTTATCATCTGCGTGTAAGACAGAGTAGCTAAACTTTCTTGTCCACGATGTCAAGGCCCATGCCTAATTGAGAAAATCAGTAGTTTATTTAAAAGATACAAAAGGGAAACAGACAGTGGCAAATATACATATGAGCATTACAAACTTCTTTCATTAATTACAATATTAGAGAAAAGAGCATTACAATAATATCATGAATCAAATAATTGTAAAGCATACCAATTATATTTTTTATAAATTACATCAATAATAGTCAAGATATCTGAACTAGACTGGAAAATTTAATATAGTTCACTGGCGTGCAAAAGATTATTAATTATCAAAGTGTGTTAAAGTGTGCTAGAAATATTTTTTTGTTAATTAAAGTAATCATAACTATTCGCAAATTTAACAGTTAAATTTAAAAAAAGCTTAGCGTGAAATCTTTTATAACAGCATTACTATGCGTTTGGAATTCTGACGTATAAATTGTAAATAAATTTAAATTATTATGCTAAAAAGTTTTTTCTAAAATTTATCTAGAAGAAAAGAATTAGATAAACAGTACTGCAAATTAATATAATCAATCAGGCCTCTCAATAAATAAAAACATTTTTTTAACTAAAAATTAAAAATTGGGATGCAAAAATTTGTGTAATATACTTGGAAATGTCTGAACATATAAGTAATCAAAAGCGTATAATTAAATTAATAACAAACTAATCAACAGCAACATTAAGCTTAATTTCATTCAATCTAAAACAAGCAATCGATCAGGAGCTCCGCATAACTCAAGTTTAATTACGATTTTACGTAGATTTCCGTATAAAATAAATATCTGCACTTGTGAAACAAGTGAATAATATACTGATAGTCCATAGGAACTAAAATACAGTGGTTAAAAATATAACTACTTGTCAGAAGGTATGCAAAGTTACCATAGCTACAAAAATTGAATGATTATAGAAAATTCATAAAGTTAAGCGCTACAGTGTGAAAATAAAATTCTGGAATAAACATTTTAAGAAAATTAGATAGAGAAAAAATCCTTAATGTATTGATATCCATATAAACTCTATGCTTTTGGAAAAGGTTACATACGAGGGTTGGAACTTTAATAGTGGCAACTATTTATTTACAAGGAATACAAAAGTGATTCATGTCACCATGTTTTACAGTCCTTCAATATAGTCGCCAGCATTGTGTACAACCCGTTTCCAACGATGTGGAAGTCGCAGAATACCATAGCGCGCCTGTTTTGTCGATAGTTTGAATGGACCGGTCGACTGCCGCAAGAATCTCAAGAACAGTTTGGAAGTGAGTGCCACGAAGTGGTTCCTTCATCTTAGGAATTAAGTCATAGTCACAAGGGCTTAGATCTGGGGAGTATGGTGGATGGTGAAGCACTTCCCAGCCCCATCGCTTGAACAAATCAGTCACAGCTTGCGCTGCCTGCAGCCGAGCATTGTCATGCAAAATGAGAGGAGCGTTCTGCAGAAAGTGTCGCCGTTTTTTTCTCAAAGCTGGTCGGAGATTGAGCTAAAAAAATGAGCAGTAATACTGCGCAGTGACGGTCTGCTGTGGGCGAACGGTATGCATTAGGATGACACCATCACAGTCGTACACGAGAATCACAACTTTCACATTGCTGGGGTTCTGACGAAATTTCGAACGTCGTGGTGACCCGTGATGACGTCATTCGTTTGATTGGCGTTTCAGTTCCGGCTGGTACGATCGGGCCCAAGTCTCATCCAGCGTATGATACGGAGTAAAAAAGCATCTCCTTCGCGATCATAGCACTCCAAGTGGGTTCAGGCAGCATCGTATCGTAGCCATTTCTGCATTTCCGTCTATTGATGTGGAACCCATCGTGAAGCAATTTTTCTCATGGACAGGCGTTCCTTCAGAATGTGCAGCACAGTCGTATGCGCTAATCCTGTTTGTCCGGCCAGCTGACGAATCGTTTGGCGGCGATCACTGTCGATTAGTGCAGCAACAGCTTGCACGTCTGCATCGCTGACACTCGGACGACCTGACCGCAGCATGTCTGCCACATTTTGGCGTCCTTCATTGAAGGCTTTTACCCATCTTGCTACGGTTCTGTAAGGCATTGCAGATTCCCCGCAAGCC